AAAAGCTTCCGCGCTTCGCGCGCGTGGATTTGGGGGGGGGGGGGGGAGGGGGGATTCAGACGAGGATTAAGAGTCGAGAACGGTACAACAAATCGTCTTCTTTCTCTAATAATTTAATGAAACGTAAAAGCTTCCGCGCTTCGCGCAGGAGGTGGGGTAACTGAATTTAGACAAGGATTAAGAGTCGAGAACGGTACAACGAATCATCTTCTTTCTCTAATAATTTAATGAAACGTAAAAGCTTCCGCGCTTCGCGCAGGAGGTGGGGTAACTGAATTTAGACAAGGATTAAGAGTCGAGAACAGTACAACGAATCATCTTCTTTCTCTAATGATTTTAATGAAACGTAAAAGCTTCCGCGCTTCGCGCGCGTGGATTTGGGGGGAGGGGGGATTCAGACGAGGATTAAGAGTCGAGAACGGTACAACGAATTGTCTACTTTCTCTAATGATTTGATGAAACGTAAAAGGGAGGGGGAAAACTGTTTTCAGATGCGGATTATTTTCGAGAACGGTACAATGAATCGTCTTGTTTCTCTAATAATTGAATTAAATGTCAAAGCTTCCGAGCTTCGCGCAGGAGGCGGGGTAACTGAATTTAGACTAGGATTAAGAGTCGAGAACGGTACAACAAATCGTCTTCTTTCTCTAATGATTTAATGAAACGTAAAAGCTTCCGCGCTTCGCGCAGGAGGTGGGGTAACTGAATTTAGAGAAGGATTAAGAGTCGAGAACGGTACAACGAATCGTCTTCTTTCTCTAATGATTTAATGAAACGTAAAAGCTTCCGAACTTTGCGCGGGAGGGGTGGGGGGGAAATTTAGACGAGGATTAAGAATAAAAACGGTACAACGAATCGTCTTCTTTCACTAATGATTTAATGAAACGTAAAAGGGAGGGGAAAAACTGTATTCAGACGAGGATTATTATCGAGAACGGTACAATGAATCGTCTTGTTTCTCTAAAAATTAAATTAAATGTCAAAGCTTCCGCGCTTCGCGCAGGAAGTGGGGTAACTGAATTTAGACAAGGAACAAGAGTCGAGAACGGTACAACAAATCGTCTTCTTTCTCTAATGATTTAATGAAACGTAAAAGCTTCCGCGCTTCGCGCGCGCGGATGGTGGTGGGGGGGGGGGGGGAACTGAATACAGACGAGGATTAAGAGTCGAGAAATGTACAACGAATCGTCTTCTTTCTCTAATGATTTAATGAAATGTACAAGCTTCCGCGCTTCGCGTGGAAGGGAGGAGGGGAAAACTGAATTCAGACGAGGATTAAGAGTCGAGAACGGTACAACGAATCGTCTTCTTTCTCTAATGATTTAATGAAACGTAAAAGCTTCCGAACTTTGCGCAGGAGGGGGGGGGGGGAAGAATTTAGACGAGGATTAAGTATAAAAAACGGTACAACGAATCGTCTTCTTTCTCTAATTTAATGAAACGTAAAAGCTTCGCGCGGAAGGGGAAAAACCCATCCCCCCTTCGGTTTTGTTATATGAGTATTTTAGAGCAACCCCCCCCCCCCCACACACACACACACCTTTTTGTGATTTCTTTTTTTAATTAAAAAAAAGAGAAAATTTTGCCAATGGCTGACCTAAAAAAGGTGACCTCACCCCCCCCCCCCCCCAACGGAACAAAATGTAAAATTTTTAAATTTCGAGACCAAAACACACAAAAAAGTGTCCTCTCACCCCCCCCCCCCCCCCCCCCCCCTCCCCAACCCCCTTCCCCCAACCCGCTTATTCAGCGGCTGGCTGAGTCGTTGCGATTTTTGGGGGGACAAGTGCCCCCCCCCCCCTAAGAAATCCTGCATCCGCGCCTTCATGACCAAATACCAAATATTCTTGTTGTGTATGGGAATCGCACCAAAACGCAAGGACCGTGAAAACCACCTAAACCTATAAACTAGATTATGCCTGGATTACATTTGCCCCGGGCGCCGTGCGATAATTAGTCTACGATTTTTCGTGCAATTTGGGGGGTATCGTAAGAGGCTATACGGCTATACGATTTACATCATCTACGAGCATCGTGCCATTTCTTGTATTGGCCCTCGGGGGCAGGCCGTGGCAAATCCGTACAGAGGCTGCTCGGATATTTACGGAAATCTTATAATTTCAATGCAGTAGCCGTCCAGTCTCTGCAGCCTCTGCACGGCAATCGTACGGAGCCCGTACTGGCTTCTGTGCATTAAAGGTTGCAAGGAGAAGCTAGGCGCCGGTGATCGTGCAGCCGCCGTGGTGTTTTTAAGCGTTTTTTTGCCTCCATGTTCATCGAAAATCGTGCTGCACGATCAGCGCGAGTCCTACGCGCGATGCCCGTGCGGGAATTGTGCAAGACACCTACGACATGTTTTCGGACTCCGCGGGCTTACGATTTTTCTAATTTGTATAACTTTCTGCCAAACAAATACGTAGAGGCCGCGGAGCACGTAAATCCGTACGAAAATCTCACGCCCGTCTCCTGCCTCCGTACGGAGGCCGCACGGAAATACAGGCAGGATATGGGCTCCGTATAGATCGCAGGCCAAATGTAGTCCATTACAATTACCATTACCATTACCATTACCTCGCGATTTCTTCTTCTTCTTCTTGATTTGTTTTTGTTTGGCAATCAGTCACAGTTGACTATTTTTGCCACACACTATTTTATGAATTATTTATATATATACATATGTACAATTTCATGTCATAAATGACTATTTTGGGGATTCTTTCTCTTTCCATCCCCTTTCCTTCCTCTTTTTTTCTTTTTAGACCCTATATAACTTTTTTTCTCTTTTTTTTTAGAGAAAATTCAATAAATTAATAATTTTGGAAAGAGACAACGGCCTAGCAAGTTGTGAATGACAAACGCCTATGAACTAAAACTAAAAGTACGTACTTGTGTTTACGCGCATGTGCGCGTTCAAATATCACCTCACGTATGCACATGATTGTGTACTTCGCACTTACCCCACCCTTTTCAAAATGCCATCTTACCAGTCTTTGAGGTATATTTCGCAGACTTTCGGTTTTAACCTAGATGTTGGAGGCGATCACCGAATTGTTAGAAAATATAAATGGTCAAATTAGTTACAAGTATTGTGGGCTTTATTGGTGCAAGAAAAAGGAAAAGAGAAGATAAGAAGAAGAAAAAAAAAAGAAAAAAAACATCAACAACAATTTAATGGTTTTGATACAGCCGCTTTGTTCTTAAAACGAAGCGAACTATTGCTTTTTGTTTAATTATTTCTGAAAGTTTTAGTAGTGTCATGATTTCCTGTAAAGTGGTTTACAGTTTCAGTATGTCCTATGCAGTTATTGCAATGGCCTGTCGAGTGTACATTCAATCTGAAGAGATCTAAGTTCAAACCTATCACTCCTATTCTTATAATCTATGGAGAATACTTTCTTCAAATCTGTTCAACTTACATTCATATGGTTGATTTACTGTAGGCAGTATATGTCTAAGAGAACTATCAGAATTATTCCATCTGTCTTGCCAGAGTTTTATATACTTGCTGGTAATAATACTCTTTATTTCAGAAAAGGATAATTTATTACAAATTTCAATGTTATTTTGTAAAGCAGATTTTGCATAAAAATCTGCCATTTCATTTCCGTGTACACCACAATGGCTAGGAATCCATTCTAATTAAGTGTATGTGTTTTCCTTGATACGATAATTTTGTACTTAATGTAATAATTTCAGTTACAAATGTAATATCTTTTTCATCCTTTATGGCGAGCAGGGCGCTTACGGAATCACAAAAAAATAACAATGCCAACATACACATTAATGTTCTCTAGCCAATTAAGCGCAAGGACAATTGCAGCCAATTCGGCTCTGAAAGATGATGTGTGATCCGCCAATCGTTTGGCTTGTTGAAAGGAGAAAGCTGGTACATAAAAAGAAGCAGAACTTAGAGAAAGCCTCAGTCTTTTCACTGTTACATGTGATTTCTTGTTCATTTTCTATCAGGACTGACATGTTTTTTGTTTTTTTGACAGATACCCCCTTTAACCGTTTAATGGTAGACCATACCTCTGGTACAAAGCGGTTGAGTCTTGAGCAAAATTCTTGCCAGTAATTTCGTTCTGCTTGGCGCAGAGTTTTATGTACCTCTGATTTTTTCTTCAAATATGTATTTAGATTTTCTATTGAAATGTGTCTTTTTAATCTATTATTAGCCCTGTTTCTTTCTTTGATACTTTGTGTACAGTCTTTTGTCCACCAAGGTACCGTGGGTCATGTTTTTTCTTTCCCCTCTGGGGCATTATTTCTTAATTTAATAGTCTCTGATAAACTTTTCATAAAACATTTATACATTTTCGTAGGGTCGGAATAGTTGCCACTATGTTCAATTTTATGTTCGCATTTTTCGGCAAAAGTGTTCCAATCAAAAAATTTAAAAGACCAAGTTGTTTCCTCATTTATCTTCTCGCTGTTGCTGTTCACTTGCCCTGCTCGGTCCAATAATATCTGGGTGGAGATGGGAAAATGGTCACTACCAAGGGTGTGCCGCAAAACTTCCCACGAGATATATAGGCAAGATAGTTTGGGGGAGGTGATGCTAAGATCCAAACATGACATTTTCCCAGTGCGTGGATCTATTCTGGTTCCTCTTCCGTCGTTCAAAATTATAAAGTTATTGTCATGTGTGAAATTTTCAATTGTGTGCCCATTTTGGTCTATCTTTGCAAAGTTTGCACTACCCCACACAGGATTATGTGAGTTGAAATCCCCAACTATAAGGTACTCATCCTGTTTAAAATAATCTCGTTTATTTTTTTGCAAGGGTTATAGAAATTGATTATGGAGATTTTTGATCCAGCAACATGTACTTTAATATGCTGTATTTCGAATTCTTCGTCATTGACAGGATATTCATAGTTGATGGAATCATGTACATAAATGGCACACCCTCCTTTACTTGATTTCCCCTGTTTCTAACAAAACATTTCGTCTATTCTCGATGTCTCTTCAGGGCCACCATAGCCTGTACCGGTAAGATCTGTGCAACTTATGGCTTGCAACTTATCTGCTGCATGCTGTTCTCATCGTAGTCCAAGACGGAGCCAGAGAGGTAAAACCGAGACTTTTGAAACATGAGTGCCGGGAGACAGGCTTTCAGAGTTTTTGCAGGTGGTTTTACTCTCGGAGTTGGCGGATCATTAGCATTTTTTGATAATATAGGATATTTTGCAACCGTCTCTGGAAAATCGATGCAGGTAACTTTATTTATTCTAGCGAGTAGCGTAGGCCTAGCGGTATTGTAGTGACGGTGACTCCCGCAACTCTTGGGGTCCGTGTTTTGGGTGTACCGCTTCATGTTTAACGGATCGGGTGCCTGGTGCGGGTTCCTAGAAACCGTCATAAGTCTAAGTTCTTGACTATCCCATTGAAACGCGTGTTCATTCTATAACACACGTTTCAATGGGATAGTCAAGAAGTTAGACTTATGACGGTTTCTAGGAACCCGCCCCTGTTAACTCCGGGAAGCTCCGATGCCGAAGGCGTCGGAGCTTCGGGTGGTGCATCGAAAAACATTCTGACAACCGGTTGGGCGACATTATCTCAAAATATGCAAAGGGAGTAATTACAATTTTGACTTAGTCTACTAGGTTGTTCGACTCCACTGGGCATCTATCCATCAATTTGAAATTAAAATTTGAAGATGTCTTCGATGGGAAAAAGTAGCCTTAAGGGCTCTCTCGAAATGTTTTTTTAATGATATTATTCGAGAGAGCCTTAAACGGCTCCCATACCCCTGCACGGAGAGGCATGTAAACAAAACTCAAAAGTGGTCCAAAATCACACTTTCGCGCACCCGACCAATATTGGACAGTGGCTTTGATAAATTTTGTCGTAGTTTTGGTCTTAATTAGCGCTTTAATTTCAAAATCGGATCTAAAAATAACAAAATAAGAGCAATTTTCTTACCAGACCGATACAGCTCAGCTCCCTTTTCACGTGTACCGTGTGAATTCACGATGTCTACACAATGGTGATGACCTCTGACTGGCACTTCCGTAATTGTGGGTAAATTGTGCTGCTTCCGTATAATGCGCTGTATGAGTGTTATTCAGCGCATTATACGGAAGCAGCACATTTACGAAGTGCTAGTCAGAGGTCATCACCATTGTGTAGACATCGTGAATTCACACGGTACACGTGAAAAGGGAGCCGAGCTGTATCGGTCTGGTAAGAAAATTGCTCTTATTTTGTTATTTTTAGATCCGATTTTGAAATTAAAGCGCTAATTAAGACCAAAACTACGACAAAATTTATCAAAGCCACTGTCCAATATTGGTCGGGTGCGCGAAAGTGTGATTTTGGACCACTTTTGAGTTTTGTTTACATGCCTCTCCGTGCAGGGGTATGGGAGCCGTTTAAGGCTCTCTCGAATAATATCATTAAAAAAACATTTCGAGAGAGCCCTTAAGGCTAGGAAAAAGGGGGTGCTTCTTCGTCCTACCCCGAAGATTCTTCCATGTTGTATCCTCGATTCAACCAGCAAAGAGAAAGTACACACTACCGCGCATGCGTACTTTCTCCTCGCCCTAGGCCTAGGAATACAAACTACAAATACTATGTCCCTTAGATCTGATACCCTTTTCTTACTGGCCTGATTTTCATCGAATGCATCCGGACGCATCCGATGAAACAGCCAGTATGAAAGCAACAGAGGAGAAAAGGGTGATTAAATAGCCGATGTAAAGAAGAGAAATAGGCGAATAAAAATTCTCATTCTATCGGTGTGACACCGATGAAACGGCCAGTATGAAAGCGTTCGGGAGAAAAAGGCGATTAAAAGTAAACAGCAATTAAAATGGTCAAAGGTCGCAGTGTATGCGCGCTTTATCGTAACCAGCTGTGTTTGTTGACTTATAGTTGAACATGCTGCATGCTAGCTAGATGGAGCGCGGGCTTAATAATTACGCAATAATTCTTCACTTCCAGCAAGGGCTCGCCACAGCGAGTGAATTTCACCGGCAGTATGAAAGCGACAGGGAGAAAATGGCAGTTTCACCTTTGTTTACATAAGGAAAATTCAATCAGTATTTTCATTGGTGTGACTCCAATAGAAGCCAGTTTGAAAGCAGTATGAGACCTGTTTTAAAATATAAGAATGATTTCCACCCCTGCTTTAGCAATACTTGTATGTATGTGACATTGAAATTATATAGTACCGCGTCACAATCGCCAAATGTATGAGTATTAAATGAGCGATTGTAGCTTCAGCTGCGAATCATTGAGTTGAGTCGAGTTGAGGTTTTATTATCCAAACATTCAAATACATAACAATAATAACAATAATAAATGTATGTTTAACAAATATCTCGAATGAATAATGGGGACCAGAAAATAGCATAATATGCTAATCATGTGTGGTACCTTTAAAATATGGTATCTTAACATTAAACAATTTGTGTGTATATATTTACCGAGTATATATATATATATATGAATTATTGAATACTGGTACAACTTAAGCTACATACTATTATATGTATCTAACATAATACATGTTTGTGTGTTAAGTACAAAGCCTAAACTTGTATAAATAGACATTCCGTATAACATAATACAGTAAAGTATCATAACTCTAAACATAACTTAATGAAATATAGAGTACATGTTTATTGTCTAATAAAAGGCAAGAAGCTTGGTTAAAAGGTGACCATAGTTATTCTATTAACATTTGTGCAGGTAAAGTACTACGAAAAAAAGAAACTGAAGCTTTTTCCTGTAGACTAGAGATAAAGGTAAACCATTCCAGAAGCATACACCTATGACACAGAAAATAAACCTTGCGTTGTCCTTACTTTAGGCATACTTAGCTTTTTATTTTCTCTTTGTCTTGTCTCATATCAGTGCTCTATGAAAGAGCAGTACATTTAAATGTCATCTTGTTTTTAAGAGTCATACCCGTCAGCCGTCACTCATAATAAGTGATGATGTTGGATGTCTTCCCACTTTTTATTGTCAGTACAGGAAATATTGCATTTGATATGCATTATGAAATAAAAGGGAACTTATCTGCATGTTCTGCTCGTTCAACAAAGGCATAGCTTGTACAATGTATCCCTGTTATTACCTGCAAGGAGTATTAATGTACATATTTCACAATATATCAATATAATCCAATGCTTTCAATTTAAACTTCTACCTCATAATTCATTGTTTTTACACTTCTTCATTCATTGAGCAGCCTGTTTTAAATCCTGATAACGCCAAGCAAAGGGATGTTCTCTTTCTGAGTCGATGGGCAGTACGTGATTACAACATTGAGAGAGGAGATGTTGTCTCATTGATGTGAGTTTTTAGATCTAGTCTAAGTAAGAATTTAAACCATAGTTACTTAATGTTAATTAATGTCATATTTTGAATAGTAGAACACAAGGTGAATTCAACTGAACTCTTCCTCCTTTGATCCCTCTTGTGCAATTTACCCTGAAATACAAAATGTATTACAGTACCACAGTTACGTAGTAAATGAGACTAGGCAATGCTGATGCTAATAATTATAATCTTTTGCTAATGCCTCGGTCACAAATGCCATTACGAACTGCTACGAACGCGGTACAAACGATTTTCAGACAATGGAAATTTGGGAAGACAATGGAAAAACAGAGATTCGTACAAAATTATCGTTTGTACGAACTTTTGTGACCGTAGCTTAAGAAACATTTACGGCATGGATAAATGATTGATTAAAAACACTGATATATCAGCCCCCTTTTGAATAGACCATTTTTGTAATGTAATCAAATTTAAAGCATACATTTTGTAAAAGTGACATGTTACAAATTATTAGGACAAACATTACAGCTTGTCTACCTCACAACAGGTAATGTATGCAATTCGCATTCTGCTATTGACATACATGTACAGTTATTCGTAACAGGTGAATGAAAAAATTTGTAACGAGGCACAAAGATTTGTGCATTAAATTTGATTATATTACGAAAATGGTCTATTCAAAAGTGGGCTGATATAACAGTGTTTTTTAATCAATCATTTATTCTTGCCATGAATGTTTCTTAGCAAAGGATTATAATTTTAGAGTGAGGCGCATCAAACAGTTACAATTATGCTAGTGAATTTACTGAAGAGTAAGAGAAATAAATAAAAAGGAGGTGATGAAACAGGAACTGGAAATGTGTGCACTGTTATGGGACCTCGTCTAATTTGATCCATTGAATGACGTTACAAACCATGGCAGTGTTCAGAGAGCTCTTTGAACGTGGGGCAGTATTTTGATGATCGTGGCTGCTTTGAAGTTTCCAAACAGAATCTTGACAACCTTGTTTGATCTAACGTTTCTTAAAGCCCCACTGCACTACTTTTAGCTACTTGCACCCTCTATTTAGCAAACAATGCCTAATTGGTGACCATCGGTCCCCCATGATTCTATTTTTATGCCTCCGCCACCGAAGGTGGTGCCGGAGGCATCATGTTTTCGGGTTGTCCGTCCGTACGTCCGTCCCGTTTGACCGTTATCACAATATCTCAAGAACCATTTAAGATTTAAACTTAAGACTCGGGAATAGTATTTATCACCATAGGAAGACGATCTGATTAGATTTTGGAGTACGTAGGTCAAAGGTCACAGGTCACAGAGGTCAACTTATGAAATTCCTTGTATTGAGTTTGTTAGCGCGATATCTCAAGAACCATTTGAGATTTAAACTTCAAACTTAAGGATAGTATGTATCACCATAGGAAGACAATCTGATTAGATTTTGGAGCACGTATGTCAAAGGTCAAGGGTCACAGAGGTCAACTTATGAAATTCCATACATTGAGATTGTTATCATGATATCTCAAGAACCACTGGAGATTTAAACTTCAAACTTAGTGAGAGTGTGTATCACTATAGGAAAACAATCTGATTACATTTTGGAGCACGTAGGTCAAAGGTCAAGGGTCATAGAGGTCATAGAGGTCATAGAGGTCAAAATTCCATCTAGTTCTATATATGTTAATTGAGAGCTGATTTGATGAGATAACCACCTATCAGTGACCATGCAGGGAGGTCTAATCCCTCCTGGCCAAACTAGTGCAGTGGGGCTTTGATATGCAATTAAACATATTACATCAATATTTAAAATCAATACACCTCTACTTTTAAAGACATACAGTAGGTTGTGGGAAAACAACACACCATTTGCTGAGAGTAATTTGCAATTTGGACTTTATGTATTGCACAGATATGTACCAGAGACATGCACCTTGCATGTATGTACCATCAATGCACTTCCAAGAAGTTGTCCTCAGGAGATGGGAGGGAAGATTTTCAACAAAATCTCTGTAACTAAACTTAATGCTGTAGGCCAGGCCAGGCCAGGCCATACTGGCTGAATGGGATGAAGCATGAAGTCTTGCCAATGCAAGACTGAACATTATTTCAATGGGAATACCATGGGTATTAAATGTGTAATTTATTATTGTCACATTTTACCTGTTGAGTACTGAATTTTCATATTCCTCTTAGATTTAATAGAGGAAAACCCCAGCTCTAGTAGGCAATGGCCTAATATGTGACAAGTAGGGGAAAAGTATCTTGATGAACCCACACAAAAATGGTATACAAAATTGGTAAGTGCTGTCTATCAAGCCTTGATATTTCCTTTTTCTCTTTGTTCTTCTTTTATCGTCAGCTCTCCACATCATCCAAGGGAAGTTTTGATTAAAAGGGTCATTGCCTTGGAAGGAGATACAATCAGGTTATACTTTCTTTTCTCTTTTCCTCTCTTTCTCTCTCTCTCTCTTCACTCACTTATGTTGGCAATATCTATATTCACTTTCAAAAATGCCCCCTTATAATGATGCTTATAATGCACCTATCTTATTGTAAGATTACTATACAAATTGTAGTGAATAAATGTAGTGTTGCAAATGAATTGTCTGTTATGAATAGAATAACAGAAAAGTTATATTGGTTCACATTGTTTGAATAAATCAATGTATTCCAAGTTCATTGAAGATAAGAATTCCAAATGAAAGACTGTTGAGCACTCTTTTTTGCCAAGAATTTGAACTAGAAATGGATAAGCGGTGAAAAACTTGTACATTTGTTAATTCAACCTTTTGCATGAAGTAGTATGTTGATGACTGCTTTTCAGAACATGAAATGCTTTGTTTAACAGAAGATAGTTTGCAAACATGGGAATATTGAAGCAAAGTTCACTCATATTTCTTATTTCATTCTGTTATAGAACCTTGGGATACAAAAACCGTTATGTGACTGTACCAGAGGGCCACTGCTGGTTAGAAGGCGACCATCGAGTAGTCAGTCTGGATAGTAATTATTTTGGACCAGTGAGTAAAATTAGTATTAGAGGGATTTAGAGCTCTTGATGTTAATATTCAGCAAGAGATGTTCTCTCTTAGTATGTTTTACGATGGACCTTGTTCATTATTTACATGGTGTGTTGTAGAACAATTACATTTTTAATTGCATTGTCAACAAAGTTATTTTAAAATGCACCTAGACTTGATATTTGATGAAGGAATAGTTTAAAGGGTGTGCTTTTAAGCTTTTCCAATAATTTATTATGGGCACCATGGGCGTAAATCCTTACGTAATACCTATTGTTCAGGGGGGATGAATGAATAGATCATCCCCTGCTGAACAATAGGTATTACGTAAGAATTTACGACCATGATGGGCACCATCTCGCACAGAGATGATAGACTATTTCATCTAGAATGAAATGGAAATTTACAACATTGTGTGTAGAACGAAAATGAGAGAAGCATATAAAGAATCATAATGCATAGGTAGTTGTTTAAAGGTAATACAAAGCTTGGGAAATTTTGAAAACTGGCTGGATAGTGATTCTTTATAATTTTGATATATTTGGATGCCCCTGGGGATGTCTTATAAGCACTAGAAAATTTAAGCCTTAAAACACTTCTGCTTTCGAGAAATTTTAGACTCGATTTCAACCGCGACAACGATCACTGAATATTGTAGGATTGCATATGCTTCCAATATGTTCATTTGAACCAAATTCATGACCCCATACGAAAACTTTGTAATACCTTTAATACGTAGCTAACTAGCTTTCTTTAAAAAAAGCTAATATATTTTGTTAGCCATGATATTTTTATTCCATTCAAACTCTTGCTGACAGGCTTCTCTTATTTTAATAACACCATTCAAATTCAACCAGAATGATCAGATTAATTTCAGGTTGGGCATTGTCTTTGAAACAACTCTTTTTTAAGTCAGTAGACATCTTGTACATTTTTCTTTTTCACAAACATGACATGCCGTTTCAGTTTGTGTCACATTTTTCTTCTCTCTCTATCACAGATTGCTCTTGGGCTTCTACATGCCAAAGCCAGTCATATTGTATGGCCATTCAGTAGATGTCAGAAAGTAGAGTCCTTGCAACCAGCAGATAGACCTATCTTGATGGGAGAGAGTCTAGCTGCAGCCCTAGTAGAGATGTTTGTTGCTAATGAGAACTCTTTAAGTGTTGAACTACAAGACGAGTTTGGAATAATCGGGGACAAGACATAACATCACGCTTTCTTGTGGGAGCTTTATAGCCAGTAACATGAATAATCTGCTACTCTTGGAGTATGTCATTTGTCACCAGTTGTGCCATCTACGTGATTCTTGAATTATACATCTGCAGCTGATGGTTTTCAAAAGAGCAACTAGGTCGACTATATCTGACTTTTTTGAGTTTCTCGTTTATGGTTTCTCAGTCCTGCCAGGATAACTCCCATAAAGTAAACTATTTTCATTCAGGAAATTTCAATATTGTATTATTTCGAGATTAAGCAACATTACTGGAACCTGAACTTTGCATTGTTAGTGTGTAAAGTCACTGTAAACAATTTCATCTGTGAGGTATTCACATTGGAATGATCCTGTCTTAACACAAAAAGCAGAGGGAAATCAGCCTTGGGGGGTAACCTCGCTGTGCATAATGACAACTATTCACAAGGACCAATATTCATAACGTGTATCTTCCTATACGTGAAGGACTGCTATTCACGAAACGAAAAGGGGGTACTATTCATGAAGGCATAAGGACTGTTGTTCATAACGTGGGATGAGGGTCGCTATTCATAATTCACATTGAGGGTCATTACTCATAAGGACGGCTATTCATAATACAATATAGGGGTCACTAATCATAAACATGAAGAAGGGGCGCTATTCATAATTTACATCGGGGGTTACTACTCATAAGGACTGCTATTCATAATACGTATTATGTAGACTACCTCTCGTATTATGAATAGCGACCCTCTTCTCGTATTATGAATACGGTAGTGACCCCTATGAATATAAACAACTTTGATTTTGTATTATGAATAGCGACCCTCTTCTCATATTATGAATATTGACCCTCTTCTTAGATTATGAATAGCGGTCCTTATGAATAATAACCCTTTTCTTAAATTATGAATAGCGAGCGGACCCCGTCTCGGGAGAGTTATACGTGTCTTGAAATTAGTGGGTGTGAGGGAGATTATGGAATGTATGCCACTCCCTTCAGACATAATGCTTGCAATTTACATGCAACTGTTCATGTTCATATTCAATAGAGGTGATACAAATTCATCAATAAACAATCTGTGCTTTTTATAGGAATGCATCTAATCTACCTCTGGTTAATCACATTTCATATACTCAAAGATAATTTAGCCTTAAAAAAACCATCAAAGATGTGATGAGGAATCAGGAATAGTTCAGGTTTAGTTCCACTGTTTAACAGACTCATTGAGCCTTTTTTGGACAATGTCCTTGGCTGATATTTATTAAAGTGTACCACCTTTAGTCCACTGATTTATGGAGTTATGTCAACTTTCGCATCCTGTAAAAAATACCTGATTTTGTAAACAAAAATCATACCAACATGAAGAAAAAAAAGATAGTTTTCTTTTTATGACTGGATTCATATTGTTAATGGATTTTGTGACAGCATTACAGCAAGGTTTTACAAAATGAAGAAAATATCACTTAGCATTCCACAAACCTGTGGGCTAAAGTAAACCTGGTTTGAATTCAAGGCATTGTGAACTAAATTACTAGAGTATAAACATGTTTCCCAGGAGACTGGGGAATAACATCCAACTTATCCAAGAGACTTGGTAGAATACATGACGTAATTCATCCATTTACAGCCAGATGGGTATACACTGTGTGAAACTAAGATATGATGTCCCTCTGGCTTTAAACAGACAAATTGGTGCTTAAGGTATTTTGTGCAAATGAATGATTTCTTGTGTGCACTTTAAAGGTAAAGACCAGTTATGGTCATGCGATTGCATTGTGAAAGAAACGTTGTGGAATCGATCAGAAAAGGTTGATCATCTAGCATCTAGCATCTGCAAGGTTCTGGAATCATCAAAATGATAAGAAATTTGGCCCATTCTTCGTAAAGTTACAAGCACTATACACAGAAAGATGTATATGGGACTACCCTATATCTCTCACAGACCATGAGAGAAACAAATTTACCAAATATATAAATTAGTAGGCGGTTTCCCGGCAAATTTGTTATCATCATGTATTAGTCAAAACATATTCTTTCACATGATTGGTAATGAGAGCTTCCATTTCATTTTTCGAAATTGGGGCGTTACCAATACTGGTCTTTACCTTTAAAGTGTGTTGTTGATGATTTCATGACATGAATGAAGTTTTAAAGTGAATGAATAATAAAGATGTTTTATATACCAGTATGTTTGTCATATTTTGCTCTTTTTTTGGTACTATCCACACATTTTTCGTTCAATAATGTATGGTTGCTAGTGTGTTGAATACATCGAGTTCTTGTTTTTATTTGTTTGTATTAAAAATGGTAGAAATGTGCATCTTCACATATTTGTATGCTTGACAGAAATAGAAAGTATTGCCCTTAACACCCCGTTCTCTCTATCTTACTCTATTTTTCCATGTTTCAATTTTAAGAAACATTGCACTTCTTTCTCTTTCTCCTACTTAAAGGGATCCTGTAAATTGTCTCAGATTCTGAAACAAAATACTGGATTAAGCTCATGCTGCAATGATAATTATAAATCTTTAGGTCAGTCAGGTAACCCATGACTTTTACAAGCCGATCGCCTGTCTGATTATCAAGATATTTATCAAAACCAAATTTTGCGTTTTCCTAACGGTTTTTATAACACTACAGTCTATTGGGGTAAATGAGCAAGGTAAAACCGGTCACTCAATGACTTTTACTTTTTTGATCATTTTGAAGCGCAACTTTTTTTATCATTTTGAAGCGCAATTTTTTTTTTTAGGACTTCAATATTACACCATATCAGACACTGATAACATGTAGGGCAGTGCATCTCAGATTTAACAATGTTAAACAATGCCTTTAACTTTCGCTATCTCATTCCTTCTATGCCCCCTCCTCTCTCTTTCCATTCTAGCACCTGATGAATCTTTCCTATTCTATTTATGTTTTCAGTGCTCTTATACCTTACCATCTTTCCATTTTCTCCAAGACTTCTAGCAATCAATCCTTTAAAAGCTCTCCTTATTCGGATACAAAAAGAACGGTACCATGCTTCACCGTAAAGTGAAGTACCAATGCAAATTTTGATAAATGGAAAGAGAGAGAGAGAGAGAAGCTCATTTGAGGTAATTATTAACATTCAATTTCGCTTGATATGTTTGGTATATCATTGAAAGGGTAATATAACTTTCAATACAATAATTCCGATGTTCACATTGAAATTGAAAATATATGAGAGAATGTAAAAATTGGCACAACATTTCTTCCACATTCCATTGTTGGTGTCAGAGTCATTCCCTTCATTTCAGTGAAAAATACAACTAGTATAAATTACATTGAACGATTATGCTGCAATTTAATTCTTTTTTAATTATCTGATGCGATTTCCACTCGTTGCTTGTCTCAGAGACAACAAAGCTAACGATAAGATCTGTAAACCCTAGAGTCAACATTCAATGCAATTTCCTCTACATCACATATTATCCTTGGTATGTGCTCTTGTTCTTTACAACGATCTACCAAAGAAACAAACACTTTTCACATCGACGATATGAATAATGTTGATTACATACCGTGAGCAAGTAGGAAAATAGCATTGGAAGGAGTTACCACTGATTCAATGCATAAACAAGTACATACTGTAAACAATGCTCCCCTTTGGCATAATTGAATAAAATGCATTATATTCAAATTGTACATATTAGTGTATTGATACTTGCATTGATGTCCTTCACCCTAAAGAATACATTAAAAGTAAGCTATAAATTATAGCCGAATCAAAAGACAGGATTTAGTATCATAAATTTGTGTTTAATACTACAAGTACTTGACATGTTCCATGGGCCATCTATAAACTTTGTCAATATAATTGTGATGGCCTGACGTGCAAAAGGTAGTAAGCTGAATTCATACTCCTGTTCAAACAATCACACCTCTAGATGGTGATTAAATTACAGAAGACACCTGTTGATAATCTGAAGCTCTTTATGTAACATCATTTTGATTATTATTGATAAGCAAATGATATCAATTCATAAGCATTAGTTCGTAGAAAAGACAGTTTTCATATCATCACTTGAGAACTGAATGGGTGTGAACTCTCATTTAAAGACCTTGTGCTTGCAAAACTACTGACAAAACATTTCATGTAGCTGTCTTACAGACAACCATTCAGCAAACTTTCAAGCTTTATCACCAGTATGTATGTCCATAAAGCATGCCTAAAATCTGAAAACATAAAGATGAAAATGCATGAGAAAATGGCACATCCTGGAGAGCAACACTTGCATAAAAATAGTTGTACATGTACAAGTCTATGCTACTGTATACAACTGCAAAGAATTTTCAGAATAAATTTGGGGCACTGTCGCCAATAATAAATGACATAATTTGGCTCATAAAATGCTAAGGGTGACTAATGCACTTTAATTACAAGCGATCTTAGATGAGGAGACCATGTTTTGAGTGTTGGTCTCACTCTCATTGGTACCACATCGAACCGTAAAAGGGATAAACACATCATCTGTATTTACAATAGGTGCATGTTATAGATAGATTTGCAGATATATTCCTTTCAGGCTATCCACTCATCCTTTCTGTTATGATGCTGTACCCACACCTCTCTTCAGCAAAATATTCTGTGGAAAGAATGAAAGAAATACAAGAATTATAGAAAATGAAATAAAGTATAACATCCAAAATAGAATAAACCAGGTTGAACGGGATTGTCATTCTATAACACGATGATTCACATCATACTATAGAAATGGGTTTTCAGTACTTCAGCATGTAGAAAGCAAAATACTTATTTTGTTGATTGAGAATACCTTTAATAGAATATAACACAGCCATCAAATCCCTAATTAACTCAGTTTGCAAAGAGTTTAAAGCATTTCATCAACAATTTCAAAGCAATTAAATATAAATTCTGACACTTGACTATCATTTTGTTGGAATTTGATTTATTCCCCTGTCTGTGTCTCTTTCTTCTATTTATGACAAATGGAGAGAGTCATATCTTCACATTTCTGTTCAATGTACTAGTAAATAAAAGTGAATGATATTTTCAAAAGACTGTAACGTACCATTCTTGCTTGTTCTATGCATGTATTGAATGCCTTTACTTCTTGGGCACAGTTTAAGGTCTGCTTCGGGTTATCTGCATAACACTTCACTACATCATTCTGAAGGTTCTCGCATATGGGAACAAACTGTTGCTTCCTAAAATTAGTAACAAGAAAAAGGTTGCATTACACTTTCTAGCATTTTCATTTTGACAGTGAGTTATCTCTAACTCATATATGCTTGCTACACACAAATGACCTGAAGTTCTCACAATGTAGCCTTAAAGTCTACCGATCACCTGAAAAATAGTATGAAGAAAATTAAGGATAAGAAAAAACCCTGCGCATGGAACCCAAGTCAAACTTGGGTTCCATGCGCGTCCTATTCTATGCTAGCACGTATGAGTGCAACAACCAGGCTACTCAACAAGTCATTTTCATATTTACTGGGAGTGTATTTGAAACTGCAATATCACTGTAAAAGTAATATTCAAAGCTCATACTGTGACTACAGTATAGGGATATGGAACCCCTATTTTTTTAGCATGTTTTAGTGTTTGGTACACTTTAAGGAGAATACATGTAGTTCAATCATTGAAAAAATGAAATTGCTTTGTAACAACAATATTATTCTAGAAAGAAGAAGGGAAAAAAAATCAAAAGACATTTCCAATTTTTGACTAATATTTTGTTTATTAACAAATGAAACCAATTGTGAAAGATAACATGCCATGTAGCTACCCAAGGGCACTATCGGAGGATGTTAAATGCTTAAGCAAAGCCCCAAAATAAAGTGCATAGTACAAAGAGTAAGACGGATCTATACACCTGATAAGTTTATGAACTGATGCATTAATTTACTCACATGAACTTTGCTTCAACTTCATCTGCAGCTTTCTGGAACTGGTCAGCAGTTAACTTATAGAAGGCAGCACTCTGTCATAAATACAAAGATACAATGGCAAAAAAATGATTCAGATTATAAAAAGTTTCTTTTAAATTATACCAGAATAAACATAGGATAAAAGGGAGAATAGAAAATTCAGAAATATATTTGTAAGGTGAATATACCTTATAGCTTGTATATTATTGAATTTTCCTTGCAAGTCTCTGGACATCTCATACATTTGGCCCTGTCTACCGTAATGTATCTTCCCTCTTTGAACCCGTTGTGCCAAAAAGAATTGCATACGATCTCCCTCGAAGCAGTTCCCCGAAGTTGACAGCCCTGTTTACTTAATATAACAGAAAGAATGTAAGAAGAAACATTCAAGCCTAGGCTACTGACTGAATACATTGGACAGTACAAGATGAACAAATATTATACGTGTACCCATGATCATACATTTAAAACAACAACAAAATAACCCAGGATAACCATACAATGGAAAATATAACGAACAAGTCATATGGAATTGCTATATAATTTTGGGCAGGGAAAATATTATTTAAAACATTTTGGGGGCTACTTTTCAAGCTTGCTTGCATTAAAGTTACACTCTTTAACTTGTTTTGCATTGAACTCTATGCAATTTTTTGGGGGCTCTCTTTGACGTTTCGGGGGCTAATTCACCCCGAGCCCCCTTGTATTTTTTTCACTGATTTTGGGCACTTGGAACATTGACTCGAACATCATGTATAATACTGTTTACTTATATACAAAAATAAAACAGTTTCGAGTTATAAAAATACAAGAGGACTTCTGTCATGAACAAAACCAGTGAAATCCAGTGAAATGTTTTAAAGCCAGCAAAAAAATATGAGACTTCCTTTCCTCCATCCTGCTCTCTCTCACTCCCTCTACCTCCTTCTCCACTCTCTCCCTCTCTTTCTCTAGCTCTCACCCTCTTTCTCTCTCCTTCATTTTGTTAATGACTGGCTGACACAATGAAGTTAACCAAGTCTGATCTTACCTTTTCTTCAGCATTCCTGAGTTTTTCCCTGTAATGATCTTCTAGTTCATCCATACGGACTTTCCATCTCGCCTCTGACCTCTATTCACAACAGAATAAAGTAATAATGATAACGTAAGTTTAAACATAGAGATAAATGTAAAAATATTTTAATTTGATTCTCACAGTCTTCATATATCTGACATTGCAAACAAAAATTATTTCTTTTTTCGTAACATTTTTCTTATTTCTTCAAAAACAACATTGAAACATATTCATGACAGAATTACATCAAATACATAAGAAAAAGAAAATCAACCAAATATCTAATCATGAATAAATTAAGATGTAGAATAATACTTTATTTCCAAGAAACAAGTTTAAACAAAAAGTACACTAGGCAACAAAAATCAATACCGGTAATTGGGTAACTTTTTTTTCTTGGAACAGCTTTATGACAGAAACGTCTCATCTTACAAATTATATGAAAGTCATGGTACCGGTACCTAAGATTAAGATACTTGAAATCTTACCCTTGGCAGATGTTCTGAATTTCTTGAGTCACCTGCAACAGATAAATAGCAGGAAATAGCAAACTAAGTTACATGTACAGATAAATAAAACAACAGCATAGAAAAGAAAGAAGAAAAAAAACTATCCTGTTGTGTATTTAAAAAAAGTCATTCATGTCTGTTTTATCCTATAGGTACCCTACTCCCTTGGGGCACTACTCTAAATATATTATAGATAGCATGTTAGTAAAGGTCCTCCAAAATTAAGAAATGAACCGCCTGACTAATACATTTTGAGGAAAAAAAATGACACTTTAGTAATTTTGTGTGTTGAAACAAATTGGAAGTTGTCCGGCACCACGCCACAGTGACATAACTGATTCAGCCAATTTGAAGTGCCTATACCTCAAGTGATTACAACTTTCAAAGATTCATAACTTTCTTATTGTTTTCTGATTTGATTCAAACTTTCACCAGTCTGCTTTCTTTTAGAGTAATCGTCTATTAAGGTTGTATTTCCCATTAAATGTTTGGCTCCATTATGAGGTACTGCACCTGTTGATTTGGTTGATTCCTCTTCTCCAAACATGCGTCTCAGTACATCTTCTGATACCTAGGAAGAAACAGAGAAAAATAAAGAGTTGAAGGCATTACACATTTTCTTTGTCAGTGAAAATTTGAAAGTTACACATTAAAAATAGAGGGGGGGGGGGGGGGATTTTGTCAATCAAGTGTACAGATAATAATTTGAAGAAAGAGGAAGAAACCCAAGTCACCAAAACAAGTCAAAGAACTCCCAAAATTACTCATCAATCACTATTATAGCTAAGAATGGTACAAATGGCATCTCAAGACTCAATGTTCAAACAACAATTTTCAGTCTCAGTTTTGTGTGGGAATTTGCTACTACTTGTACAAGACCAAAAGCTCCCAGTCACAGCTCCAGTCTCTGTTGAGACTTTTAATCTGACTCCACTGACTGCGGCCGCCTCTATACTGTACTGAGACTGAAGTGGGTTGTACGGTCGGGTTAGTGAGGGGAAGTTACGCAATACAGTTTGAGACTTCTGAGCTCATTAGTCATTGCTTCAAAAAAACGGACAGACTAGCTGAAAGAAAGTCCTTATGTCGATTGTCGATGTAAACTTTTACAATGCTTTTTGGCGCTAGTTCAGAAGTCTATCCAAAATTTGACCCGTAACTCCTACTAAAACATACCCAAAAGGAGGTAAATATTCATCAAATTTCCAAATAAAGGTCATGATTTGAAAGGCGATAAGTTTGTTACCTGTTTGGTGTCAATTTTCTTATCATTTTTTGAGTATTTTTGCTAAAAACGAGACTTATAATATGCACTTTCACACAGGATTCACTGCAAACTGCAGCACAATAGGCCTACAATTGCATACCGTACTGACACTGGGGTGTGGACGCGCATGTGTGTGTGTTAAAGTGATTTGGTAACATTGTTGAAGAATGATGAAAAAATTGCTTAATTTTAGTATAAAATGTTACTTACTATATTCCTGCTACTGTACTAACCCTGTGACATGCGAAAAATCCTGAAAAAATTCTCAAACCACAAAGATATCTACGGTTTTCTTTGAAGGCATCGTTGTACGACACCCTCTAACAGTGATTAACAGTAAATTCTCCTAACCATTTTTGAATTTTCCCAACCGTTTTTCCATGAAATAAAAGACATAAAACAGGCTATAAAAAATCTGTCAACACTTAAATGTCTGGAATGGAATGTAGAGCCATTTTATTACTTTGTGAGATTTCCATTCACTTAAAATGTAATTAAATTGTAATAATATAGTTGGGAGAATTAAGGAATCGATCAGATCAGTTTTTCCCAATTTGTAATCATTGTCCATTTTCACTCAAATTTTCAGATTATCTTTAATTGTACATCTAGCATTGAAGTCACTACCTTAGCACCACCACTATCTCTCATATGAACAATGTTACCTAGCCTAGTCCCTTTAAGTTAGCGACTGTAATCTTAGTTTACGGTCGCTAAATGAACACACACGCGCGCCCGCACCCCATCGTCGGTACGGAATGCGATTGTATTGTGCTGCAGTTTGCCGTGAATCCCGCGAGAAAGTGCATATTATAAGTCTTTGTTTTTAGGAAAATTTACACAAAACAGGTAACAAACATATAGATCTAGGTCTAGACTTTTAAAGAGAAGGTTGAGTTCTGGGAAGAGGTGAAAAAAAGATTGTGAGCATTATCATTGTTATTATGCAAGGGTAGAAGAACATCAGATAAAACAAATTCTCAGTAGGTCTAGGGCGGTTGACGTAACGTAACGTGACGGAAGGCAAAGAGGACGGGAGAATTCACTCAACCGAGATCAAATAATGTATGCAGTTTAAATTCTCTCTATTGAAATAGTCATATAGACCTAGATCTAGATCTACTATTATTCTTTATATCAGATGAATGAAATAATTTGTATTGAGGCACTTCACAAAGCAAAGCTAAAACGTCTAGTAGAGAGAAGAGTCTATGCATTAAATTTGGTTACATTACGAAAATGGTCTAGGACCTAGACCTATATTACAATATAGGTCTAGGCGACAACTCTTCCATCGAGTTTACATGGTTAAGGGAACAAACTCTAGATCTATTTGGCTGAGAACGGTCGTGAAAATCAACAAGAGTCAAGACAGAGAAAATTCTGGTACGCAGATGCGCAGATTGATTATTTTGCTCGGTTACCCTCGTGCCTTCCGTCGTGTTTGCGAAAGCACTCTAGACTATATGGTTACAAATGAAGGCGGAAGTATAAAAGATCTCGGTTGAGTGATTTCTCCAGTCGTCTTTGCCTTCCGTCGCGTTGCTAAAGCGCCTTAATACCAGACGGGAGACGCGACGGCTATTTTTCTGTCTAGCAGTAGCAGGAGCGACGAATCGTCTCGACTCGAAAATAAAATTTGAATTTACAGATTTAGGAAGCATAATCAACTCACTTTAACTACCCCTCCATCCGCATCTTGTTCCAAACTAATTCTTCTCCCTGGGCTACTACTAGTACTACTACTTCCTCCCATATTTTCAGAAAGTTAAAAGAGTAACAGGATCTCTTAGGCACAGCTCAGTACGTGTTTTCAGCAAGCAATACGTAGAAACAATCTGCATGTGTGCACCATTGCATTGTAATGAATGCTGTGTGTGCATGCAGCGCATGTACTTTGGGTGTCGATCGAGTACGGTATACGGTATGCGTACATGTACCATAACAAATATTGAAGTTAGTCCCTGGCGCATGTCTTGGTTTCGAGATTGTATACTACGGTATCCTTGAAAAATGAACGTCTTTCCGAAATCTTTCTGTTTGTGAGGGAAAGAAAGGAAAGGGAAAGAGGAGAGAAAGGAAAGAAAGAAACAAAAAGAAACAGAAATAGATGATGTTTTTGTATACAAAAAACGGGAGAGTTGTCCATGTTGAAGCCCCCCCCCCCCCGTGCTCATGCTCCTTTACATGTATATGATGATTAAAAAAATGTTAGCTGTGGACCAAGGTAGTGAAACTGTTTTTATACTTTTACTAACTACTCTGCGGCTTTCGATTCAGTCGTAATATTAATATCATGTTTTTCTTGATCACTTGCGTAATAGATATGGTATATCAGGCACTGCCTTGAATTGCTTAAAAATAATCCGTTCTCAACTTTTTATTCAAACCTTACGTAGGCTTGACGGTGTTCCTCCGGTCCATCCGTCATCGACCCTTTATCATTTTGTATACAATGCAAGACTTGAAAATATATATTGAAGCGCATGGTTTAGACCGAACGATAACGCAGATGATACCCAAGTTAATTCATGTTGTTTTGAAACGTGATTTCGACCATTCAGTCATTACCAATTAAACTTGAAAGATGTATAAATGATACCAAAGCTCTGAATCGAGATGTCAGTTGAATAACCTCAGATTTATCCTCATTTAATTTCAAGTCATCAGCAGTACCAATAAGTCCACGTATAGGCCTACTGCTAATGATTTGAAATTAAATGGGGATAAAACCAGGCGCGGAAACAGGGGGCCAGGGGGCCTTGGCCCCCTCCTCCCCCGCCAACAAAGAGAGAAAGAGAGAAGGAAAGAAGGGAAAGGGAAAGAGGAGAGAAAGGAAAGAAAGAAGAGGAAGAAGAACAGAAAAGGGGGAAAAGAAGGAGATCGGGTGGGCCGGGGGGGGGGGGGGGTGATCGATAGGGCCTTGCCTCCCCCCTCAAAAAAAAAAAAGAAGAAGAAGAAGAGAGAATTAGGAAGGAAAAGGAAAGAAAAAAGGAAAAGAGGAGATACATAAAGGGTAAGGAAAGAAGAGGAAGAAGAAAAGTAAAGAAGGGGATATCAGTTGCAATTTTCCAGCCGACAATATTTGTTGATCGGGAACGGGGAGCCAAAAGGCCCTTGCCCCCCCCCCCCTCCCCCTCCCCGCAAAAAAAGGAGAGAGAAATGGAAAAGGGAAAGAGGAAAGCTGTAAGGAACAAAAAAGAGGAAGAAGAAAAGAAAAGAAGGGGAGATCAGTTGCAAAATTATTATTCATCTAGCCAACAACGTGTGGATCGGGGGCGAAAGGCCCTTGCCTCCCCCAGCAAACTTAAACGAGACATTAGGAAGGGAAAGGGAAAGAAGAGAGAATTTTGTGAGAGGTGCGAGAGCATGAGGAATTGCATTTCTTTTAAAATGGGATAATAGCCAGGGGCATCGCTATTGTCGGTAAAATTGCGCTGCTTTCGGGAAAATTGAGAAAAGGGGAGGGGGGAAATGAGAGGGGAAGGGAAAGAAAGGAAAAGAAAAAAAGTAAAGGAAAAAAGGAGAGAAAGGAAAGAGAAGAGAAGAAAGAAAGAAAAAAGAAAAAGAGGAAGGAGAGGAAAGAAAGGAAAAGAAAGAAAAGAAAGAAAAGGAGAAAAGGAAAAAAAGAAGAGAGAAAGGAAACATGAGAAACGGGGGAGAAAGAGAGAGAGAGAGAGAGAGAGAGAGAGATAGAGACGGGAGGGGTAAGAGCCTGAGGAATCGTCTAAGCTTTCGCGGTTCGCGCGGGAGGGGGGAAACCTCATTCAGACAAGGATTAACGAATCGTCTACTTTTCCTAAAAATTTAATGAATCGTCTAAGCTTCCGCGCTTCGCGGAGGAGGGGGGGGGGGACTGAATTTAAACAAGGATTAAGAATCGAGAACGGTACTCGAATCGTCTTGTTCCTCTGATATAACTTAATGAAACTTCAAAGCTTCCGCGCTTCGCGCGGAAGGGGAAAATCTGAATTCAGACAAGGATGATTAGGAGTCGAGAACGGTAATATACAACGAATCGTCTTCTTAATTTCTCCATTAGTTTATTGAAACGTCAAAGCTTCGGCGCTTTGCACGGGAGAGGGAAAACTGAATTCATACAAGAATTAAGAGTATAGACAGCGGTACAACGAATCGTCTTTTTAATTCTTCCGCGATATGCGCGGGAGAGGGGGAAACTCTGCACCCCCCCCCCCCCCGGCCCCTAGTGAGAGCGCGCTTTGCGTGCTCTGTAAAAAATTCGAGAGATGTCCTCTTTTTATCTCTGATAAGTGCCCCGGTTATTTTGACACGTGCCCCCTTATCCTGTCTAATAAGTGCCATTTTCCTTCTCATAAGTGCCTTTTTCATCTCTGGCGTGTGCCCCTTATCAGGTGCGAGATCACCTCTGATAATTCCCCTTTTTACTTTGACACGTGCTCCTTTTATTTTATAATCAGTGGCATTTCCCTATGGATAGGACAGAAAAGAAGTTACTCGTAATCATGAATTAAATTACAAAGTCCACTTTTTATACGCACTATATTAAATCCTATAGCTAGCTTATACAACATTCCTTTCTAAATTGAGGAAGATATCAAGGCGGCAATCACGAGGTACTGGACAACACTTATAGAAATATAGATACATGATGACAAAAAAGGCCTAACTGAGTCAATTATAGGCTACAGAAATATTGGCGCTCCTAACTTCTCCATAGAACGCAGTTTCCATATTTAAAAAATGTATATTTTTCTCGCCTTAAAATGCTAGATTCCAAAGTACAAAAAGTTTTTGTTCGAGCGGTCGCTACGTGATCTCGTAAAATGAAATATCAGTATATTTACAAAAAGCATCGCTAGAATGCAAAGTCCAAAGTCTTCCTATTTAGGGTTAATGACATTTGACACTTGATCCCTTCACACCCCCTCAGTCAAGCCTCTAATTAGGCGGACACTTTTTTTTTTGTCTCGAAATTTGAAAATTTGACATTTTTTTTCGTTGGGGGGGGGGGGGGTAAGGTCACTTTACGTTAGCCGTGGGCATAATTTTTTTTTTCTTTTTAATTTAAAAAAAAACAAAAACAAAAAACAAAGGGGGGGGGGGTTTTAGTTTTTTTTAGGGGGGTTTACACACATAAAAATACCAAAGGGGGGGTTTGAACCCCCAAACCCCCCCCCCCCCCTGCGTACGCCCCTGTGTATGACACAAGTTCAGTCTCGTGTCCTAGTGAGTCTATCGTTTGATTTAAAGTATTTCTTTGACTTATGTACTTGAAGCTAATTATATCTTTATCTATGGCTGTAATAACTTGTTTGTTCTAAAATACTATGCATTCATGCATGAGAGTATAACGATTTCTTATAATTGCCATAGGAATTATAGAGTGAAATTGCTGTTGAAAGACAAGAATTCTAATAAGATGCTGTTATTTGGGAAGTTTTGATTAATGTATTACTAGATGAATGAAACGCTCAGTTTGTCATTTATTGATATTGCTAATCTCTTTGATTTCATACTTTCCATGATTCAGTATTCTTATTGTTTGATAATGTTTACTTTTCAGAGTAAATGAGTATATCTGTTTGATAAATGTATTTATCATGTTTTGTATTTTTCGTATCTTTGATACAGGTTTTTATTTTCGTTTTACAACCCGATTGGTGTTGGAATAAAAAGCTGAAGTAACTGCAAACATCTGTGTCGAGCGTTCTTTTCCCTGCGTTACATGTCAGTAAGCGTAAAACACAGGGGGAAAATGCGTTCTTTAGTTCAAGTGTCCCATTCGGATCACACTAATGGTAAAATAAAATGACCACTATTTTAAAGAAAATGAAGTAATTAAAATGTCCATATCGGAAAAATTGCGAAAAGGAAATGAAACTTTACCCAGTCAGTATAGCATAATCAAACATGGCTCAAAAGAATTGGAGATCATATAACAAAACGGCTATTATTTAAACGGCTATTTCCCAGTAGACTGATCGGCCATGAGGCCGACAATATCCTGTCTTAATTGTGAAACCTTAGAACAGTTGTCAGAAGGCAGTAAAACAGCCATGGTCTTGGTGGCTATTGGTTGCAAGATTCTGCATGGAGCAGGGCCGTAGCCAGAGTTTGATGTTTTTTTGTTTTGTTTGGGGGGGGGCACATACAGGTAATTGATCGACGTCCTGGGAGGGGTCTACAAAAAATTTCCACCGATCTTGGAAATTTTGGGGGCACGTGCCCCCCCCCCCCCCCCCGGTGGCTACGTGTCTGGCATGGAGCAATATTGGAAGGAGCGAACCGACCAAGTTTGAGAATTGTTTAAAAACCTTATAAAGAAAAAAATAATTTCCAAAGCCGTTTACTCTGCGTGTTGATATTGAGGGCATTTTCCCTCTTTTCTCCTTTTTAACTTTCTCTCACTTTTGCACCCCTTTCAAGTGACTCTCGTGCCCCCTCTCCCCCCCCCCCCCCGTAGACACGACACTGCTTATGTGTCTCGGTCTCGAGAACATCTTTTTTCAGAAGGTCCACGAGATGAGGAGGAATTAAAGAGAGAGTGGGGAAAAGATTTTCCTACGCTGATAATTTCATAAAGCTACTGTGGAATGATTACTAAAATACTATACAAAACCAAATTATTTAAACAAGAGAATACCGACACATTGACAAACTTTCCAGAATAAATCCCCAAATTTTCAAGGCTTTAAAGCTTACAACGAAACTGTAAACTTACTTCTTTCTATGGTAAAATGGAGTTGTGACTTGTAATAACTTCTATTTGAAACTGGTTTACTTTTGATATGTGTCCTTGCTATTTTTTCTTCATTTGTCTCTTTTCCCCCCTCTCATTCTATCTTGATTATATTGTTATGGTTTTTAATTAATAAGAAAGTAAAAATAAATTAACACTGACAAACAAATGCATACAATTCAAAACTCCTTATTATGTCCATGGGGCTTTTAAATCATGTTTCGTATGGAAAAAATGAGCGATTTAAAATATGTTTGTTTGTTTAGTTTTATTTCTGCGTTCAAAAAGATACAAATTCAAACTCAATTGACAAAAGTGTGAACAATAACAAATACAATGATATAATGTTTACAAAAGTAATTGAATAGAAAGTCATGTACAATAATATCATACAATAAACATATACGAATAAGATATGTAGTACATATTTTCCAATAAATTAGAGAGGTAAGTTAGAACGCAGGAGACCGCCATCGTGAGCGGTTAGGCTGGAGATGGATGGCGGCCTCATTAAAAAAAAAGATTTTGGCGACATAATTCTCTTGGGAAAACTGAGTGATCAAATGGGTGCAGAAAGCAGTTGCATGATAAAGCATACAATAAGTCACGGTTACATTATATTATATCCTGCAACAAAAATTTGTTGGCTTTTGATTGGTTGAGAGCTCGGCACATGACCAGAAATATTTGACCCATTTTTAGAAAGTACTATATTATGAGAGTACTATTTTGGTTTACTATTTGGGAGTTGAAAAAAAAATGTTAATTTTTTTTTTTAATAGAATCAATTTTTTTTCTTCAAATCTTAATTTAAAGGTAATACAAAGTTTTGGGAAATTTTGAAAATTGGGTGGATAGTAAATATTTACAATTTTTATATATTTGGATGCCCCTGTGGATGTATTATAAGCACTAAAAAAATTAGTCCCTAAAACACTTCTGTTTTCGAGAAAAACTGAATATAAAAATTTACCGGTGCTCCCGGTAAATTTTGATAAATTTCAAATAGCGCCTACGGCAGTACAATGGTAGCTGCGACCATGAAAATCTCAGAATATGTAGTTGTGATATATAATTTCCAAATGGGAATAGCTAATCGGTCGATTTTAGTCAAGAACCATTGTTTCATAACTAAATTAATATCTTGACCTTGAGAGGGAGCTATACAACATAAAGAGTTTATTATTTATAATTTCATAACTTTAGACTCAATTTCAACCGGGACAACGATCAATTAATATTGCAGGAACGCATGTGCTTCCAATATGTTAATTTGAACAAAATTCATGACCCCATACCAAAACTTTGTAATACCTTTAATGAAAACAAAATAATTTAAATCTTTCTAGATAAAAATTGACATTTTTTTTTGTTCTAAAATATTTTTTCCCAATTTTTTATTTTTTTAATTTTTTTTAAAATAAATTTTTGATGCAGGATAAAAACAAATATACCATGCCTTCTATTCGAGGTACTGGTTAAACTATTGGCCTCGGTGACTCCAAAAGTACCATTTAAACTGTTATTGTACTATGCAAGGCTTTCTTGAAAAGCAGGTCCACTGGCTTTCAATGGAACTGCATGAATGAAACTACCCTGTTGAAAAAAATCATGAATGAAATGAAATAAATAACACAAATAAAATGAATAAAACAATCATTATTGGAGATGGTTAATGTGGCAGATCAACGCAGGCTAGCGACGATGTCGAATTTCTTAGGAGCAAGTGTGGACGTGCGATGTCCGAATCCATAGTCGGGAAGGACGCCGTCGGGTATTCTGAAGGTAAACTTTTGAAGCAGGTTGGTGAAGAACAAGAACAATTCAACCTTGGCAAGTTGCTCTCCAAGGCATATCCTCCGTCCTGGACAGGAATTATAATACAATAATAATTAAATTCATAGCTTTTTCACCATCGTTTTCTTAAAGGACACGAATATAACTACCTATATATTACTATATTATTATATTACTTGAAAAAAGGGTTACCTATGTCGTCTTCTGTAAAGATTTTGTTTAAATCTCTCCCCTCCCTTATCTCTCTTCACCCTCTCTCATTAAGACTAAGACTTTAGTTCTTATGACTATACATGTACATGACTTTTATATATTATAAACAGATAATGTTGGGACTTAGTGACTAAGATGATTGTGCTTCAGCTTTCGTGGAACACAGTTGAATCATCAAGAACGTCTCATATTTTCTATGATCGTAGGGGGGGGGGGCAGGTAATTTCATTTTTGAAAGTTGTGATTGATCTGAATAGTCTTTACCTTCATGCACTTGCGAGATATTGCACCTTTAACTTTAAACTATACTGGCATACCATAAGGATAAGTGCAATAAGTTATACAATTTAAATCATTGACTTATACCTGCTCCAAAAGGCATGTGCCCCTCTGGCTTCTTGGTCGCCTTCCCATCTTCACTTAAAAATCTAGTCGGGTCAAAGGACTCGGGGTCGGGCCACAACTCCGGATCTAGATGCATGCCTACCATATTCATCATTATAATGGAACGCTCAGGAAGGAGGTAGCCTCGGAACACGATGCTTTCTGTGTTAATGTGTGGAATGCCAAGGGGCGCGATCGGACGGATTCGGAGAAGTTCGGCAATGGTTGCTTCTGTATAAGGCATCCTGGTGCGGTCGTCATAGTGAGGTGTGCCTTCATGACCGATGACGTCGTCGATTTCTTGGCAGACCTGAATTAAACAAAGAGTTACATAGACTGGTGAAATTTCAAACACTAGCTGAAATAAATCCAATTCTACCACTAAAAATAACTTACACAGGATACCAGATTAGGTGGTTGTCCCAGGGATAGTTTTGGTAGTACTAGTCCGGATACAGGATTTTCCAGAAATCCTATTCAAATTTCAATTAAAACCTAGTTGACTGCGATCGACAGCCCAGGAGACCGTCATAACCGTTGAGATAACTAAACTGACATCCATTCAACGGTCAACGGGATATCCCTATTCAATTAGTTTTTCATTAACATTTAAAGTAAGTGATATACCTTTTCCTGGATATCTGGATACCCTGCCATATACAGCATGGCCCACGTCAGCGTGGTTGCAACAGTCTCGGTTCCAGCCAAGTAGATGTCGAGGAGTGTTCTCCAAAGGAGTGACTCATCAAAAAAGGTCTCCTCTCCTGCATCTTTGGCCCGGTCGATCTCGGCTAAACACATGTCAATGACATCCCTTGGATTATCGACGTCCACTGTCTCACGATGCTCAACAACCTCCTGCTTCATTAAGCCTATCAGCGCGTTGCACATGTTGCGTTCCTTCGTGAAGAGTGGAGTAAAGTACAACCATGGCATCATCTCTAAAGGCCCGTAAAAGTTCTCGGCACCGAGGACGTCGGTAATGAGCTGCACCATCTGTTGAAACCTACCATTGGAATACTCGAAGCGCTGACCAGCTGTGATCGACCGAATGATGTTGGCCACGGCATAGTTGACGGTTCGGAATGGATCGAATGGCTTGCCTTCTGCCAGAATGAATTCCTTACAAAGAACCCGAGCCTCTTCGTTGACCCGATCTCCAGCACTCCTCTTCCCCATGCCAAATTTGCGGAAAACAAGAAGAAAGAAGCGCCGCATATCACTCCATGATTTTCCCTCTTCAAAAATAATGCTACCTAAATATACAAAAGGAAAAGTGTAAAAACAGTTAATAAATAAAAGCGCAAGTCCATAGAATGGGAAGCGGAGTATAGGGCTTTTAACGATCGCTTTTCACATTATACCTTTTCTCTTTATTTTTCATTCATTTTTCCATTCAGTATAGGCCTATCATCTACCCCACTGCATGCATGTGGAAGACCCCTTTTCAGGATTTGACAGTGGCATACTAACCTTTATCTCTGAATGCAACATGTGCTAGAGGTGCAGTATCTCTTCCCGATGTAATCTCAGCTTGCTTCACAAAGAGTTCTTTCACCATCTCAGGATCACTCAGAATCACCAGCAATTTTTTGCCCTTTGACACTGAGTAGATATCACCGTACTGTCGTCGTAATCCTGTCACAAGCTCGATGAGGTTAGGTGGTTTGGAGCGTGATAGGATGCGCCAAAGGTCATTCAAGAAGATACTGAGAGTGGTTGGGCCAGGCGGTGGAGGATGTGATGACGGTTGTTTTCGGTATCGGCGTATCCATACAAATGTTAAAGCGGCAGCAGCTATTCCGAGAAAAATCTGTGTTGTCGTCACGAACTCCATTGTTTTAGTCTTATCTGCATGTACACTAAAACCGACCATTCAAATAGGAAAATTATTAACGGTAATGCCTTTCGACAATTATTTCACTATCAACTCCCGCCCCCCCCCCCCCCCCCCACTCAGGGGTCGGAATGACCGCATGCGTGTTGCCAAAATGTCCAGTAAAGGGGTACTTTTCGTGCGACAAAGTCCGGCCCGAGAAAAAGGGTGTATTTGACTTTTCACCCGGAGATTTCTGTAAAAAGGGGGTGTTTTTCCTTTTTTTTCCTCTCATCTCTTTGGACTCCTGAGAAGTTATTCCGAATTTAGGGGGATACATTGAGCATTTTTCCTGATTTAGGGGGGTCTCCAAGGCAGGAAAAGCCCGCGAAAAGCCCGCGAAAGGGGGGTTCGGAAATGTTGGCAGTCCTCAGATAGGGGGTGCTTTAAAAAAGAGGGAACGAGCATTATGCGTACCCTAAATAACACTGAGGGGGGGGGGGGGGGGTATCATCCTCTCTTCATAATGTAAATATTTTGCATTATGCAGATGTTATAGCCTCCAATGTAGGCCGAGTTGTAACGTGTTTTTAATTACACTTCATTATTCAGGGGAATTATATACGGCCAGACATTTTATGCAGGATTCATTTGTGTTCTGGGCTTGATCTCTCCATGTACTTTTTAAACGTGTTTGTTTCACAATATGCATGATCATATACGACAGTTAAACAAATAGAGTACTAACGGTGTGTTTGCTTAAAGGTATTACAAAGTTTTGAAAAATGGGTGGATAGTGATTCTTTAAGTTCAAGTTCAAGTTCAAGTTCAAGCTTTATTTCCACATGTGGTTCATAAAAACAAGTATACATACATGTTCAGACAAATACAAAGTGCAAAGTAATACAAAATTAACAAACAATAATTTTGATATATTTGGATGCCCCTGTGGATCTATTAAAAACACTAGAATCTTTAGCCCCTAAAACAATTCTGCTTTCGAGAAAAATTGAATATGAAGATTAACCGGTGCTCCCGGTAAATTTTGATCAATTTCAAATAGCTCCTACGGCCGTACAATGGTAGCTGCGACCATGAAAATCTCAGAATATGTAGCTGTGGTATATAATTTCTGAACGGGAATAGCTAATCGGTCGATATTAGTCAAGAAACATTGTTTTATAGCTTTACAACATACAACATAATTATAAAGTGTTTATTATTTACAATTTCATAACTTTAGAGTCGATTTCGACCACGACAAAGGTGATCAGTGAATATTGTAGGATCGCATGCTTCCAATATATCCTTTAAGTTGTAAAGTTTTCTAATAATACACTATTCATTAATCAGCGGGGAAGGTACGGTCAAACATTTTATGCCGGATATTTATCTTGTGTTCCTGGCTTGATCTCTACATGCATGTTTTTTAAACTTATTCAAATTGTTTGTTTCATGATGCATGCAGGATCATATACGACAGTTCAACAAAAAAGAGTACAATGTCGTTTGCGTGCATGGGTGTGTGAATATCTTAGCAGCCCCCCCCCCCCCCCCCCCACGTTATGAGCTGATACTATATAGTTCACAACCTTGTATGCACGATCGCGCGTTAGTCTGCAGGCATTATAATAGACTCATATTGACACTCCACCAAACTATTTACATGTACATACCCAAATATGTCTATCTCAGATAAGCACTCAGATATCGACCTATACGCCTGATAGATTCATTGCCCCCAATATATCGGTGGTAGATAATAATTATGCGCGGCTGTATAGCCTATAGGCCTATATTACTGCACCGATGGATTTTCTTACGTCCGGTAGCGGTAGATTACAATACATTCAACCCTTTGAAAATAACCCATTCATCAAATTTTGTGCTACCAAATTCTGTGGCCATGCTTTATGCACAATGGACTATGGAAGAGGCCCGCAAGTCTTGTGCACAAGATTCTATCGCATATAGAACAGGAAATTGGCCGTTTGACCACATAATTAGTCTCGCTTGAATAAAGTTACGTTGGTGTGTACCATACATGCATAATCATGGTACTTTGAAAAATGTCTCTTAGATCAACGAATTTTACTCACCGATTAATTGTCCGACTGCATGTCTCTGCAAATAGCCTGATCTGACTCGATCGCTGAATTATTATGGTATAAACGAAAGCATAGCATGCATACCGTCCAGCGAGGCGCGAATTAGCTAGGATTCTATTTTAGGTTGGGGGGGGGGGGGGGGGGGGGCCGGGGTAGTGAGTACGCGAATATGGTGGTGTTTTTTTTTTTTGGCGTTTCATTAAATTATGTATCTGTGGTTGGGCTTTCATCGAAAGGGTGCGGTGCGGTGCGGCGCGGTGTGGTGTGCTCAACGCACCCATTCGATAAAAGAGGGAGGCCTTTTCTCGAAAGGGTGCGCTGAGAGCGGAGTACCGTTTTAACACACCCTTTCGATGAAAGCGGGGGGGGGGCCGGGGCGAAGGACTCTTGCCCCCCCCCCCCGCCAAAAAAATAAATCAGAGAGAGAGAGAGAGAAGGGAAAGGGAAAGGGAAAGAGAAGATAAAAGGAAAGATCGAAAGAAGAGGAAAAAGAAGAAAAGAGGGAAATGGGGGAAGGGCAAAAGGCTCTTGCCTCCTCCCTCCCCCCCCCCCCGCCAAAAAATAAATAAGAGAGAGAGAGAGAAGGGAAAGGGAAAGAGAAGATAAAAGGAAAGAAAGAAGAGGAAAAAGAAAAAAAGAGGGACACGGGGGCGAAGGGCTCTTGCCCTCCCCCACCCCCCCCCACCAAAAAAATAAATAAGAGAGAGAGAGAGAGAGAGAGAGAGAGAGAAGGGAAAGGGAAAGGGAAAGAGAATATAAAAGGAAAGAAAGAAGAATAAGAAGAAAAGAGGGAAACGGGGGCGAAGGGCTCTTGCCTCCTCCCCCCCCCCCCCGCCAACAAATAAATAGGAGAGAGAGAGAGAGAGAAGGGAAAGGAAAAGAAAATATAAAAGGAAAGAAAGAAGAAGAAGGAAAGATGGATACGGGGGAAGGGCGAAAGGTTCTTACTCCCCCCCCCCCCTTTCCGCCAAAAAAATTAATAAGAGAGAGAGAGAGAGAGAGAGAGAGAGAGAGAAGGGAAAGGGAAAGAAAATCTAAAAGGAAAGAAAGAAGAGGAAAAAGAATAAGAAAAGAGGGAAAGGGGGCGAAGGGCTCTTGCCAACAAAATAAATAAGAGAGAGAGAGAGAAGGGAAAGGGAAAGAGAAGATAAAAGGAAAGAAAGAAGAGGAAGAAGAATAAGAAGAAAAGAGGGAAACGGGGGCGAAGGGCTCTTGCCCTCCCCCCCCCCGCCAAAAATAAATAAGAGAGAGAGAAGGGAGAGGGAAAGAAAATATAAAAGGAAAGAAAGAAGAGGAATAAGAAGGAAAGAGGGAAACGGGGGAAGGGCGAAGGGCTCTTGCCCCCCCCCCCCCGCCAATAAAATAAATAAGAGAGAGAGAGAGTGAAGGGAAAGGGAAAGAAAATATAAAAGGAAAGAAAGAAGAGGAAAAAGAATAAGAAAAGAGGGAAACAGGGGCGAAGGGCTCTTGCCTCCTCCCTCCCCCCCCCCCCGCCAAAAAATAAATAAGAGAGAGAGAGAGAATCATCTGTTCTGATCCTGGTCCTGATCCTCAAGAGGGATATAAAGATGACCAATAAGAACGTTATCGTTCGAGAGAGAGTGTTTGTTGCTTCTAGAACATTTTAGAATTAAGTCCCATCACATTGCAGTTGTGGGGAGGGACTATGATTATATTACCCCCTTGGATGGCTTCCCAGAGTCTGGTTTTGAAGGTTTCGACTGTGTCGCAGGCAAAGATGCTGGGGGGGGGGGGAAGTAAATTCCAGGCCCGTATGGTTCTTGGAAAGAAGGTGAGTCGATATATATCCGTCTTGCATCTTATGTTGGAGAAGGAGAGGGAAAGAGAAGATAAAAGGAAAGAAAGAAGAGGAAGAGGAAGAAGAATTTGTGTTCTGCCAGTGTCACAAATAGATATATAAATATGCTCATCTGACGATAATTTGATGTATAAAACCCCTCACCTTCTTGGGGCTCCGCCCCTTGGATCCAACACCAATTTGTGTCCTGCCAGTGTCACAAATAGATATAAAAATATGCTCATCTGACCGTTATTTATTGCCTAAAACCCCTGAGCTTCCGGGTGCTCCACCCCCTGGACCCCACGCCAATTCGTGACCCCTGTGTCACAAATAAGGTATAAAATAATAATTATTTAATGGACAAAACTCCTGAGCTTCTGGGGGCTCCGCAGCCTGGACCCAACATCAAATTGTGTCCTGCCACTGTCACAAATAAGGTATAAAATTATGCTCATCCGACGTTAATTTTGATGTTTAATACCCCTGAGCTTCTGAGGGCTCCGCCCTGTGAAAAAAACGTGTTAATTTTTACCGTTTTTGGGAGATACCCCCCCCCTGGCGTTCAAGGGGGGGGGGGTACGATTTTTCAAATTTTTGAGGGCCCCAAAAAAGATTAGTGCTCTCTAGTAATTTCGCGACTACTCCGGAACCACGGCAGATATAAAGTTTTTCTTTCATGACTTTTTTCTTTCGAGTCTTACGCATCTTTTGAAACATTTTTTTGTTGAAAATCGGACGTATAATTGCGGAGTCACGTGACCTTTTGTCAGTTTTGCATGTCAGCCCTAAAATCGCTCATTTTTGTGATTTATGTACCAAACATATGGAAATACCATTTATTCTTTTAAAAAAAGAGAAAACATTGGTTATTTGGTCTTGTTTCAAGTTAATGTGTTTGATTTTGGGTAAAAATAGTTGAATTGTGGTTAGAAATTAAATGAAATAACAAAATAATATAATACATAAATACAAATTATCAAAACAAGAGATCACATATAATAGGGATAAACTGGCTCTTCCAACTTTGTTGTCGTATTATTATTCTAACGAATATGTGAAGTGAAAAAGAACGCTCGAATATGAATTATATATGATTTGTGGGTAAAAATGTGAATTCTCTGACCTTGTTTGCATAAATTACCATAAATATGAATTTTTGCGGCGATCGGCTGTGAAACGGCCGAGAACTTAGGGGGGACCCCCCCCCCCCCCCCACCCTCAAGTCCACTCCAATCACATTGAAAAAAAGTATGACTTAAATCATCTCTCTCATCATTATACCGCTATAGTATTCATGTTTAAATATTATTTATTGTCCATTAAACAAGTTCATAGAGAAAATACTTATCTCTCTGCAACATTAAAAAGAATCTTCATTAACATGTCTTAATTTGTATTGATAGCCTTGTGGTCGCCAACAGTGGCGTAGGCAGGGGCGTTACCAAAGGGGGTGTGGGGGTGCGACACCCCCCACCTGTCAGGATATTGTCGGTAAAATTGCGCTGCCGTCGGGAAAAAAGAGAAAAGGGGGAGGGGAAAAAAGAGAGTAAAAGGGAAAGAAAAGAAAAAAAGAAAAAGAAAAGAAAAAAGAAAAAAGAAAAGAAAGGAAAGAAAAGAGAAGAAAGAAAAGAAAGAAAGAGAAAAACGAAAAAGAGGGAGAATAGGAAAGAAAGGAGGCAAGAGCCCTTTGCCCCCGTTACCCTCTTTTCTTCTTCTTCCTCTTCTTTCTTTCCTTTTATATTTTCTTTCCCTCTCCCTTCTCTCTCCCTCTCCTATTTATTTTTTTGGCGGGAGGGGGGGGGGTAAGAGCCTTTCGCCCTTCCCCCGTTTCCCTCTTTCCTTCTTCTTCTTCTTTTTTTCCTTTTATATTCCTTTCCTCTTTCCCTTTCCCTTTCCCTTCTCTCTCTCTCTCTCTCTCTCTCTTTTTTTATTTTTGGCGGGGGGGGGGCAAGAGCCCTTCGCCCCCGTTTCCCTCTTTTTCCTTTCCTTTTATCTTCTCTTTCCCTTTCCCTTTCCCTTCTCTCTCTCTCTCTCTCTCTCTCTCTCTTATTTATTTTTTGCCGAGGGGGGGGGGGGGGGGAGGAGGCAACAGCCCTTCGCCCTCGTTTCCCTCTTCTCTTCTTATTCTTCTTCCTCTTCTTTCTTTCCTTTTAGATTTTCTTTCCCTCTCCCTTCTCTCTCTCTCTCTGTTATTTATTTTTTTGGCGGGAGGGGGTGAGGGGGGGGGGGGAGGTAAGAACCTTTCGCCCTTCCTCCGTATCCATCTTTCCTTCTTCTTCTTCTTTCTTTCCTTTTATATTTTCTTTCCCTTTCCCTCTCTCTCTCTCTCTCTCTCTCTCCTATTTATTTGTTGGCGGGGGGAGGAGGCAAGAGCCCTTCGCCCCCGTTTCCCTCTTTTCTTTTTATTCTTCTTCCTCTTCTTTCTTTCCTTTTATATTCTCTTTCCATTTCCTTTTCCCTTCTCTCTCTCTCTCTCTCTCTCTCTCCCTTTCGCCCTTCCCCCGTTTCCCTCTTTCCTTCTTCTTCTTCTTTCTTTCCTTTTATATTTTCTTTCCCTTTCCCTTTCCCTTCTCTCTCTCTCTCTCTCTCTCTCTCTACTGTTTATTTGTTGGCGGCGGGGGGGGGGGGGGGGAGGAGGCAAAAGCCCTTTGCCCCCGTTTCCCTCTTTTCTTCTTCTTCCTCTTCTTTCTTTCCTCTCACCTTTTTCCCCCCTTCCCTTTCCCTTCGCTCTCTCTCTGATTTATATTTGGCGGGGGGGGGGGGGGCAAGAGTCCTTCGCCCCCCTGTTTCCCTCTTCTCTTCTTATTCTTCTTTCTTTCCTTTTATCTTCCCTTTCCCTTTCCCTTTTTTCCTTCTCTCTGTCTCCCCCATCAACATAGTAATAACGAAAGAGACCACTCTGTAATCAAGACCATTCCATTTTATTTAATACATTTTCGATATACTTAAATTGGCAACTATTACCTTCTGTCCGAGATCCTCATTTTAAACGACTGATGCGAAAGACTAGTCGACGCACCCTTTCGAGAAAAGCCCCCCCCCCCCCCCCGCTTTCATCGAAAGGGTGTGTTAAAACGGTACTCCGCTCTCAACGCACCCTTTCGAGAAAAGGCCCCCCTCTTTTATCGAATGGGTG